GGTCATTCAAGTTGTTAGATCAATTATTAATATTAGGGTTTGAGTTCATTTAGATTCTCTCCTACATTTACTTAACCTTGAGTTATATTTTATCTTGAGAGACTTTAATTAGGTTACTCGTATTCATAGTTGCCCATTCTGCGCCCATCAAATCATTTATGTGCATTAAATTTAAATTTTATGGTAATTTGAAATTATGCGCTCTATGCCAAGTATGTGTATTTGATACATAAGTATTTGATACATATGTATTTGATAAGATCTCACATGATGCACTGAATTTTGACGGTACAAAACTGAAGAATTCAACGTCTAGTCGTGGGTCGCACAATTGAACATGCAGATGATTTAGCTTCCCTCATGCCCGCCGTTCACTCATATTGATGAGTGGGTCATATGTCCAAATGATTTATGTAAAGTTAAAAGTTTATGTAAAGTTGAACATGCAACTGTAGATTAAATTTCAGTGGCAGTAATTTATTTCTAATTCTTGTATTTTAAAATGCAAGACAAACCAAAAGACGTACGTTGTAGGCTTTTTATGGGCAGAGATTTTTTTACAATCTATTTCAAATTGCCTGCCGATGAAGTGTTAAATTCAAACTCATTTCAACATTCAACAATTAATGAACTGAATGTTGCAACATTCAAACTAAAACTCAACATTAAATTCAAAGTCAAAAACACTCTTTATGCATGTAGTACTGATACGCCCTTTAGCCGGACAAAGTTAGACCAAGATGGCCCAGACATAGTAACCCTCTTGAATGTAGGAATTTACTCAGAGTAAAGAGTGAATTCTGAGGGTAAGGGGAACTATAGGCAAGAAGTGCATCGCTATTTGGACAAAATCTCTTAATTATCTGAGTGTTGAGTTGTTATTGTTATTATTATATTAAGTTATTGATAATCACTTTGAATTTTAACGCGCGTCACGCTGACGATAGAGCTTCGATGGTTGTGAGTTAGGATAAATTACCTAACGCACTTGAAAATTATCCTTGATAATATCAATGTGCGCTGATGTTCTTCATCGTCTACGCTTTTGAACTAAGAAATTATTTTTACGGTCAACTTCTACTTTTCTCTATTATTCAACTTAATTAGACTATTATTTAGGCGGGAATATATGTTAGTTTTCAAATTTATTCAATTTATATGTTTCGTTTTAATATTGTCGCAACTGACAAGCTAACTTAAATATGTGAATTTGTTTACGTCAGTATTATCATAAATTTTACAAAATTTATTGTTGAAATTTGAATATTTCTTTTGATATGATTTAAATATAAAATTTAGGATTTAACAATAAATTTACTTCACCTGACTTTATTAGTCGAACTTATGAAATAAATTTCAATAATTGTATTCAAAGTTAAAGTCTTTCCTACTCTATTTTAATTAAGATTGACATTTTAAAAATAAATTTCCGTTCATATCCGAAACAACTTTGACTCATAACAACATCCGGCATTATTCAAAATTTCATATCCTACGCGAATTGATATAGCCGACCGTCGCTCTAGAAATGGCCTTCAATAACTATAGTGAAACTTGGCAGTTTGGTGTATGCTGAACTTTCTAATCCATCAGTACAATCTTCTCATGTTATTATAAGACACTAAAAAATATATACAAGATTAATGCCTTTCTTTAACCTCTACCGCCGTATGTCACTCTCCGGGAACATAACTTTCAGCTTAAATTATACGGAAACTATTGAGTGCAGCAATCTGAGGACGTTTGTACGCAACAGAGAATATTTTAAAGTTGTCGTACGTGGCGGCAACCATCAGGGCAAGTCATTTTGCGCTCACTATAGAACGTATCCTTTTTGGGAAGTAGGCTTGTGACAATATTGCTTCGGTTACTCATGTTAGGCGATAGAGCGTTAAGGTTACCCAGCCTTGTGATAATCCAATTGAGTGTCAGTGAATAATGATTCCGTTCAATACCCTATATGCTATTACCTGAAATTGTGCATAGGTAAAATAAATCAAATTGTGGCCAGTTGTTGTGCGCACGTTATCTCCTCAGCAACGTGTGGCCGCGCCCTGGCATTGGAAGGCAGACAGATCAAGTCTCCAGAAAAGTTTCAACTGCCGCGACCGAATCGTCCAATCCAAGGAAATATTCTTCCTGCTCACCTTCAGCCTTTATTTCCCCGAGGATAAATTCTTAATCTTGTATTGGGAACGACTGACCATCGGTTACCATGCAGCTCCCACTCGCGCAAAGTTCCGAGATCCCCGAAGTTGAAGTGCTCAGATCCTTGGCTAGTATCGCTTCTTCCTGCAAGTCCTCAAAGCAGTTAATATTACTCTCAATTGATGAAAATTTCATTTCATGACAAGATGGGATCATGTTTGCAATGATATCGTTCGATGACATCCTATAGTGTCAGTTAAAGAACATAATTCTATATTACTTAACATAGGTTATATCGTTCGATGACAGCCTATAGTGTCAGTTAAAGAACATAATTCTATTGTACTTTAGTTATCGTCTCTTGTGCAAGTCACATATGTGGAGCCACTCATGCGCGAGTATTTACCAATTATAGACGATATAATTCATATATACTAATAAAAATAGCATCTTTCTGTAAGAACAGTTCATCCGCGAATACTATTTATGCATTAACATTTATTGTGTTCTAGCTGATGTTGTCTCCGAATTCCAAGGTTGTGTCAACCAGTCAACTTGTAGTTGAATGATAGCAGTCGTGGTCGCCTTATGTAAATGTCAAATTGCCCACGCAACTCACTGAATTTTACGAGCAGACTGAGATAGAAAAAAATGTATTGAAGATCCGTTGCAAGTGACGCATGGCAGACATGTATGTTTACTGTCAAGAACTCATCCAAAAGACTGTTTGGATAACCTCAGCTTGAACTTTTCCTGCATTTAGTTCATGCGGGAGACGGTCCAGTACGTACGTCTTACTGACAGTTGAACACTGCGTTGAAGTGCCGAGTTAACGTCCTTGTTTTCTACCTGTATATAAACTTTTGGCTCAAAATTTTATTAAACGTTGTAATATTTCGTACTTGTTGACAATATGTTCTATTCTTTCTTGACCAGTAAGTGGGTAATGAATAGAATACGCAAAAATCAGGTAAATATTTGTAATCAATTTTTGTTTTTAGACTTTCCAAATCAAGCAACTTCATTCGATGAAAATTCGTTGTCCTCAGAATCCGAAATACTCTTTAAAAGTATCCCTTTGAATTCATAGAAATTCATTCCTTAGTGTTACTAAATTTATGAGTGATAAGTTAACGATGAATAAATTGGCAAGCGAAACATCCGGAAGTTTTGTTGGTAAGTGTCTCGCAGTTTACAGCCACGCATTTCGGAAAAAATCTCTAAATTTTACATACATTTTTCCGGTCGTAAGCTATCTCCTATTTTTTTCAAAAATTGTAAAAATAAAAGCTAATCGAAATTGCATTCTCAAAGAATAAAATTTCTTTCCAAATAAGACGAACATGGCCTTACGGTTCGAAGTTCACTGTCACCGCTAAACGATCTTCACTTAACGGACTGTCGTTAAAACTCAAGACCTCTGGAAGTACTACCGATGATCTTTATTCCCTGTAATTACCTTAATATAGCCGTCATTATTGCACGGCGAGACGCTTCTTGCTGGGAGTCGATCGGACTGACAGTGCTGGGAGTCGAGTGGTCTGTCGTCGCTGGGAGTCTAGTGGTCTGACATTGCAGGGAGTTCAGTGGTCTGACGGTGCTGGGATTCTTAGTGGTCTGACGTTGCAGGGAGTCGAGCGGTCTGATAGTGCTGGAATTTGAGCGGTCTGACATTGCAGGGAGTTCGGTGGTCTGACAGTGCTGGGAGTTCAGTGGTCTGACAGTGCTGGGAGTTGAGCGGTCTGACAGTGCTGGGAGTTGAGCGGTCTGACAGTGCTGGGAGTTGAGCGGTCTGACAGTGCTGGGAGTTGAGCGGTCTGACAGTGCTGGGAGTTGAGCGGTCTGACAGTGCTGGGAGTTGAGCGGTCTGACAGTGCTGGGAGTTGAGCGGTCTGACGGTGCTGGGAGTTGAGCGGTCTGACTTTGCAGAAGAGTTCTAAGCATTTTCAAAAGTTATCTTGTACAATAAAATCCATTGTAGTCGTTTGATTAAAAATTGAGTTTTAACAAACGTAGACATGATTGTAGCAGATGTAGGAAAAGTTGCAACTCTAGCTGAAATATAGTCGCAACAAGTGCATTGACTCCAGTCTACTGGAATTGCATGTAAAATGAAAATGGGAGTTGAAAACTATACTCGTAATAATGAACCGACGAAGGACTGTTCAACGCTGCATTAATTTTTGACTTAGTGGTGCAGACATAGTCGCGGCACTGGTATACAATGGCAGCAGGTTCAGAGTCAAGACAGAGGCAGACAATGGCAGCAGGTCCAGAGTCAGGACAGACACAGACAATGGCAGCTGGTTCAGAGTCAAGGCAGACGCAGACTCGACCATGACACGCAGAAAAAGCGGCTGTGATGAACGAAATCTGCTGCGGTAACGGGCCGCTGACAAGCTACAGACGTGACGCCGGGACTAGATGCCCCTCTCCGCCTCCCGTTACAAGCATTTCTTCCAACCAGACATTTGACGATGAATTGACATTGAAATGAAAGTTTTTTTCGTTAAATTTAGCGTTTATTCATTTAATTGAACGTTTTACTAGTGTTACAGAATTTTATTTATTTAATTTTTTACAGTGTTACGAATTTTATTACTAGTGTTACAGCTAGTAGGCATCTGATGGGAAACTTAAATTTATAGTTTAAGAAGGCCGCAAAATTTCGAAATAATCTGTTATGATAGTACGTACTATTAATTTTTTTTACTCGATTTCAATGTATGAGTAATTTGGTTTTAAATTATTGATTATTTGTAATTGAAGCAATAAAATTATTTCAATTACAGTAAATTTGTAAGTTTATTAAAAATTCACCTGCCACTCATTGTCATCCTTATTCATTGCAGGCACGTCGCCGTTCACGCTGTACTTCAGCGTCAAATTCTACGCTGCAGATCCAACAAAATTGGTGGAAGAAATTACGAGGTGAGTTAACGTTGTTACAGTTATGTTATTGAGTGTACTTCTCTTCAATTTTATTTAATTGTAGAAAAGTAATCTCAATACAAAGGTTTACAACGAAGGACCCAAGAATTTCGTCTTTGTATGAAAAACAAATATTTTATTACTGTGTATTTCCGAGTACATTTTCGACTCATTCCGAATTTACATTACTTTATTTCTGATGCACTGGTATTATTTTTATAATTTATATACGATTGGTCAACGTAATTAGCTTTGGAGTTCTTCTCAGTTTTCACGTCTAATGTACGACTTGCATCGCGAAAAGTTCAATGAAATTTTCCTGTTTCTCTACGCGTTTTTAAATTCTGTTTTTAAATTCATATAGAGCTCATGGCTTTGCTTGTGCTGCATGGCGGGTTACTTCCTGCATTGTACGTATCAGTGAAGTTACAAGTTATTTTTAAGATACTATGCACGGACCACTTTATATTTTTTAAAGTCAGAAAGGCGTCATTTTGTGAAGGTGTCGGTATATAGAAAAAAATTTTCCCTTATCTTTTTGTGAAAATTAATTAAAGCAAAGACAAATCCTTTTTAACTAAAATTGTTAAGTTCCAATCCTCTTAAAAACAAAAGTAAAATCTTGAGCCCGTCAAAAAAATACTCTCCAAGGCGCTAAAAAAGCGAAAATAAAATAAAAAAATACGCTACAATAAGAAAGGTGCGTTCGATAAAAGGCTCTAAATACCGCGACGCGCGAGAAATAAACATTTTCCTTTGGTCCGAGATGCTGGAACCTTTTCGGTAGGAAGGCGCTCAGGTGTTGGAGATAACCTATCGCCGCGCTGATACAGTGCTGTGTCCGACACCTCATAAATTCTAACATGGGTCAAGCCGGCTCCTCCGACGCCCATCTCAAACCTTGGCATTTCGTCAAGTTCCGGTAAAATAAAATTCAGGTTCCAGTGTTGGTTTTCGTTTATGAGAACCGCAAATAATTATAAAAATCGCATTATCTTTCGTCTTCGAAAACTGTGGTCCATGCAGGTACTTGCGGTACACCATGCACTAAGTATTTCTTTAAACTTCGTTATGTTCAAATGAAATCAACATTGAAGCTCTTTATGACGAGCTTGAGCATCAATGATTGTCTAGAATGATAGCGAGTATTTCATTTGTTGTTTACCACGGTCAAAATTGTAAAACCGAATTGTCAATACATTTGCCGCTCACATTTGAATTCACTAACTTAAGGTGTTGATGTAATTAGTTAGCAATCATCATTGTTTCACTGAATTATTTCGGTTTTTACACAAAAATGCACTTTTGCACATTGCTGCGACTTATTTATTACCACTCTAGCTAAACTAAAGTAACTATATTTCTATATGTCGTCACTAAGCATCTACTGCACTGAAAGTGATTTGTTTCTCATGATTTTCCAAAACTGATCCAAATAAAGCACCTATTTTCTTGTAAGCCGCCAAAAAGAGCTGTTTATATGCCATACTAATAATAAAAAACTTTTTTTTCTGGCTGTACAGATTGTGTGATCATAATAAAGATTCGATGAGCTGATAAATGTCCGTTTCTGGACAGACAAAAACTCCGCTTAGCTTAGAGTTCCGTTAAGTTTTACTGCGACCAAACCTTCGGGCTTGTCGTCGCTCAGACCATTGAAGAAAACAACAGTTGATAGAAGAGAACACAAACTGCAGTCGATAGAAGAGAACACAAACTGATGATAGAAGAGAACACAAACTGATGATAGAAGAGAACACAAGCTGATGATAGAAGAGAACACTAACTATTGATAAAATGTAACACTAATTCTTTTGATAGAAGAGAACACTAACAGATGATAGAAACGAAAACAAACTGTTAATTCAACAGAACACAAACTGTTGATTTTATCATACTAGTGTGGTTCAAAAATGTCTCGCCTCTGAAATCAGCGTTACAAAAAATTCGTCAAAATGTGAAAAAAATGTTTAACTGCAGAGCTAAATTTATTTATAGTTGCGTTGGATCTTGGGCGTGGGCATGTAATCATTTCTTAACTAATTCTATCTAAATTTTCGTGTCCGATGACCCATGTTTATTTTTTTCTGTGGTAACTTTATAGCTGGTTTGATGGTTTCCAATAGGAAACGACCTCTTCATTTCCAGTTTATGTCCCAAGATGATCTCATCCTTATCACTGTCTTCATCTCGATCCCTGTAATAGAACAGAACATCTCCAAACCTGCAGGTGATTCCGTAACCCCGTTCATTTTCATTGGCATAACTGTTACATGTTGGGCGGGCAAAGGGCTTTACGAACACCTGCTTTATGAAGTTCTTCCTACAGTTTATTTCTCGCGTGGTATAATCTCGAATTCTTTTGTTTCCGGGAGACTGGAAATTATTTTGTAGTCGCTCCATGGCTTGATGAGCTGATAAATGTCCGTTTCTGGACAGACAAAAACTCCGCTTAGCTTAGAGTTCCGTTAAGTTTTACTGCGACCAAACCTTCGGGCTTGTCGTCGCTCAGACCATTGAAGAAAACAACAGTTGATAGAAGAGAACACAAACTGCAGTCGATAGAAGAGAACACAAACTGATGATAGAAGAGAACACAAACTGATGATAGAAGAGAACACAAGCTGATGATAGAAGAGAACACTAACTATTGATAAAATGTAACACTAATTCTTTTGATAGAAGAGAACACTAACAGATGATAGAAACGAAAACAAACTGTTAATTCAACAGAACACAAACTGTTGATTTTATCATACTAGTGTGGTTCAAAAATGTCTCGCCTCTGAAATCAGCGTTACAAAAAATTCGTCAAAATGTGAAAAAAATGTTTAACTGCAGAGCTAAATTTATTTATAGTTGCGTTGGATCTTGGGCGTGGGCATGTAATCATTTCTTAACTAATTCTATCTAAATTTTCGTGTCCGATGACCCATGTTTATTTTTTTCTGTGGTAACTTTATAGCTGGTTTGATGGTTTCCAATAGGAAACGATCTCTCTCTTCATTTCCAGTTTATGTCCCATGATGATCTCATCCTTGTCACTGTCTTCATCTCAATGCCTGGAACATAACAGATCATTTCCAAGCCTGGTGATTCCGCAACCCCGTTCATTTTCATTGGCATAACTGTTACATGTTGGGCGGGCAAAGGGCTTTACGAACACCTGCTTTATGAAGTTCTTCCTACAGTTTATTTCTCGCGTGGTATAATCTCGAATTCTTTTGTTTCCGGGAGACTGGAAATTATTTTGTAGTCGCTCCCTGCCTGCATTTGTAAAAAAAATTCCTGTTTCCTGAACGAGCGATTATATTATCAAACCTTAGGAATAGTTCTCTCGCTCAAACTAATCTTATCATGTGTAGAATGTTAAGATGGACTTTCTGTATAGTGAGCATTGATATTAATTTAGATGAACTACCGGCATTTATTGAAAACCTTCTGGGCGACGAATGTAATCTCTGATTTACTTCAAGTTGAATTAACACGAAGTATTTTGCATGTAGTTCACCATTCAATTATTGTTGTCGATTATTTTGGAAAAATGTTTCATTGAATGAATTTATAGTTAAAAAACGCTATCTGCCAAATACTCATAGCTTTAAGATAAATACAAATGTTTGCAGTTTCGATTGCAATTTAAACGAGTTTAAGGACAAGTTTACACAACCTCGGAAAACTGAAAAAAAAACAGTCTACTATTCTTTAATGACCTAATTGTTGCATTTACTGGATTTGTGCTCCTGAAAGTATTTTTCAATATTTATGTATGATTCATATGTAGGCATTTGCTGAAATTGTTATTTCGTAGAATGATGAATGCTAGTATATACCCAATTTCTAAAAATTTGGGACTTTCTGTACTTCTTGTTGAAAATTTTTTTTCTTCGAAATTTTGACTCATTCGTCCAAATTAAAACACGAATTAATTTCATTCACTGCATTTGGATGCATTTGCACCTCATGCCTATGAAGGTTCATCCAATTATACTGGTTCATCCAATTTTTTACTGAATTAGAGCCATTTATAGTATTTTATTGATGGATTTTGGTAAAACTCCTACATTACGACAAACGGCACACTGAACTGTAGCAAGCGTCAATTATCGCGCGTAACCTTCAATTTTGAGTGTTTCTATCAACCCTCTGGATTCATTTAAACTTCTTTAGGATAAGAACTGAAGATACGGGCGTTTCAAGCGTCAAGTCCCGTGCGTAATATACCGACGTATTGAACATATTTCTCCATAATCATCTCGAGTTACGTGTTATCTGAGGCCTCATCTCTCTGGGTACGAGACTTAATGCCTCTCTTAAGGCATATTTATTGATGGCCAGTTGTGATGGTCTCATTCTTCTCTTGTATGTCCGTGATAAACTATAGTCTTAAGAGCTCGATGGCCCTCCCTGCTATTATTGTACCGTCGAACTGTCGACTTTGGTGATAAATAACCATTGAAGGCTAAGTCTGAGGGTTTATATTGTATTCTATTTTTTATAACTCTAATACATGGAATATCTGTTTTCTGCAACCTACGTCGCAGAAGCCGATATGGTGCTGCTGATATGCGATAGAATCGTGCGCGTGAGAGGCAAGTTTCGCATCGCCTGCAAAAAAATGAATTTCAAAAGTTATAGGAACTAAGTTCTCTTCTTTACCAATATTATGCCTTTTGAACGCAGTAATTTGTTTGAAATTTTCTACCATTTCGAAGTTTTTGCGTATAAAACATTTATTCCTTACCTCATGAAGCGTGCGTATAGATTATTGCATGAGCGTTGGCGGATGCTGACCTTAGCAAAGATTTGCTTCATGTGTTTCCTGATTCGCTTTAATTTTAGCTGCCATATCACGATCTGAAATTCAAGGCATATTTCCCAATATTTTACGTCAACAGCATACTCCGTAACTTGTATTTATATCAATTGCACTCGACTTTACTCCGTCGATATGTTCCTCAATATGTTACTTAGGTTTTATTCTGATAATATCGAAGGTA